TATATATATATCTATGAAAATAGAAAAGATAGAAAGTTCTTATTTTATATTCCAGCTTGTCAATTTTTGTAATTGGAGTAACTAATTCGTAAGAAACTACAGATTTTGTACTTGGACATCACAAACATCTAATTTGAACCAGTGCTACATTCAACATACCACGCGACACATAAAAATCAATATTTAGGTGTTTTTAATAATTATTTTAAATTAAGAAATTAACTAATGTATAATACTAAAATTTGAATTATAATCTACAGTTGGATACCAAACATATTGATATACAAAATTGGGAAAAGTTTGTTTGTAAGAAGAGGTATCTCTTGGAAATACATTTTTCAGTGTTAAAAAATATTAACTTTCAACTTGTGCATCAGGTCACCAAGACAAAGGTTTTTCATTTTTATTCTTTCTGTTATCTGATTAACATCATATTAAATTTGGAGCAATTTGGTATATGACTTGTTTTTATACCTATGAATAAAAAACTGATTTTTTAAAATTTTTTTTTACTCTTTCACGTCCCTCTACTAAGTTGGAAATTCATTTTTCAAAGTTTTCTTATGAAGCATTCTTGTGTCACTCCAACATTTTTAAAATACAAATTACCTTGGAAACATTTTTTAAGCGACTTTGTTTTACCATAGATTTTAGATTGAGTAGCCTTAGTAGAGCAATCTACTGAAATGTGATTAGCAGTGAAAATTCATTAAACTGAATTACAATATTTTCACAATTCTATTTTGATTTTTCCATGTAATAGATATCTTTGTTGTTATTGATAAAAACTATGATTTTATGGATTCATTAGCTCGTCAGTTTTCTCAAAGCATGCTCACCATTGGTGACAAAATAACTCATTTTCGTTAATGGTGTATTTAGTTTTACATGTATTCTTTGGTGTTTTCTATTCTATTAAAAATACTCAAAGCTGGCAGTGAAAAGATTAGCAACATTTTACAGAAAAGATGTACTTCAATAAAACAGATGATTGTTAAATATGTTTCTTATCAAAAACAGTTTTATAAAATCAATACTTACTGAATTTCTATCATACCCCTTGACCACTTCTGTTACTGCATCTTTGACTACTCTCTTTAAACACTGAACAGAATTTATTTTTCTTTTTTGTTTAACAGAGGCTCATGGAAGGAAAAGAAATTTAAGCCATATAATTTTGATGCCTTGGGAGTTCCTCTTGAATGTGGCCATCTTCATCCTCTAATGAAGGTTAAAACAGAAGTGAGGCAAATTTTTTTAGAAATGGGGTGAGTAAAGCTTACTTTGTAGTATTCATAACTAAGAAATTGGAGATAAATGTATATGAGCTCAGACTTTTTTTTTTGTTTTTCTGTACTCTCATCTTGTCAATTATAGAAGTTTCAGTCTTCATCTGTAAAGTACATTGTATTATTAGGATATCATAAAAATTAAATGTTGACTACAAATCCACTGTTTTGTTTTGTAAATATTTTTCTGTGTTTTAATCATATGTTACATAACTGTTTTGTTTTGTAATTAGTTTATCAAACTACTTTAACAACTTTTCTAGTTTCACAGAAATGGCAACCAACAACTATGTTGAAAGCTCTTTTTGGAATTTTGACACACTTTTTGTGCCTCAAAAGCATCCAGCTAGAGACATGCAAGACACCTTCTATTTGTCAGGTAGAATTATTGTTATTATACAACTTAATTTCTTCATGTTGTTCTGTTGACAAAGAAGTAACTTGTTAATTTAATATTTGCTATTTAAATTGCTGTGCTTTATTCATTTGAGAAGGAAAGTGATTTCTTAAAAAACTTCTAAATAATGTTTGTCCTTTGGATAAGTACCAATTTTGTATTTAAAAAATAACAATTCAAGAAAGTGTAAAGCTAATGGATAACTGCAAGTTGTGTAACATGTAGAAATGAACAACTGTTATTTTGACCTTTTGTTTTCTTGTCACAACCGATTAAACCATTTGTACTGTACCGGATTCCATTTCTACAGAAGTTTGCTGTAACTATAGTAACACCCATTTATGAAAGGTCCTTCATATTTTACATTTATTTCCTGAGAATTTCCATTGTTTATCAGAACAATTCAGGGCAAGTATTACAAAGTGTCAAATTAATTCTTTTGTATTGTTATTTGTACTCACAGTTCAATTCCTATAAGTAATTTAATTAAACATCAAGATGTACTTTCTTAAAGATAGCTGGGTTTTTAAACACTTCATATTATGTTCCTTATAAAAAATGTTTTTGTGGCTTATCTTTTTCAATAATTCTGTATTCTGTCTATCAGGGAGGTAAATATAAAGAAACTATAAATAATTATTTCACAATATACTGTACTAAACCTTGGTAAGCAAGAGTTTGTGAAATAGTTGCTAATACTAACAATGTATGGGTAATAACAGTAAAAAACAACAGGTTGACATGATGTTTGGGTAATAACAGTAAAAACAACAGGTTGACATTTCAATTAAAATCTTAATTTTTTTTTCCTGGGACAAAACCAGGTTTTTTCAATTTTTAAATTATCTGTTCTTAGTATGGAAGTGAATTATGTAGACATGCAAGGTTTGTGTTCTGAAGGGTGTGTTAGTTTTTTTTAAGTATTTGTGATTTGGGGGATTTTTATTGATTTGATTGTCAATTAATTCAGTGGAATGTTTGTTTTTAAACGTTTATCAAAGACTATTTTAAAATATGTTTTAGCTTTACTGAACTTGGAGGCAGTAAATTTAAGTGAGTTTAAAGAGAAAGCTTAAGTATATGAATGATAAGGGCTGGCTTTAAGATTTATTTTATTATAATTTATTTATTTATACTTTTAGTTTAGTTTATAGGATGGAAAAGCCAAGATGGATCAATGGGTCCCTTGTTGTCTTAAAATGTTGTTATATATTTTTTTTTTTAAATGTTAATTTCTGTGGTATTGTGCAAAGATCTGTCAAGCTGGGTTTGAAATTTAATATGTAAATATAAAGTGTTGAATTGTTGTGTTGGAAATTCTTTGTATTTGATATCTATCTGTTGTCATTTTATCAGAAAGCTTGTGCATTTATTTAAACTTCATATTTTTATTCAATTTTAATGCAAATCATCTTGCTGAGCAACGGTAGATTATAAGTGATAGTCAATTGCAATCTTCAGATAGGAGTACCATAAAGGTAGATGGTACTGCTGGTTGTTTTCCCTCCATCTGGTTAGCAGCTCAAAATTAGAAATGGATGTGCCTAAACCTTGTACTCTCTGACCTGGACTTGCAGCTGTTGTGTCTTATAAAGTGATGATCAGGTTAAAAATACTTTGTGCAAGTAAAGAAATTTCATTTATGAAATATAATGGCTTCATGTAAAATATTCTTTGGAATAGCAAGATAGTTAATGCTTGCCAAATAAAAGATTTATGATTGTTCACAGATCCAGTACATGCTAATGAGTTCCCTCTAGAATACCTGGAACGGGTGGAAACAGTCCATTCTGTGGGAGGATATGGCTCACAAGGGTTGGTTATTTACAGTTTCAATTATAAAGCAGTCAGAGAAATTAATTGATGAGGGAAAAAAAGCAAAACACATTCTTCTGATAAGGTACATTACTTCCACTCACCTACATAGCTATTTTCATTCAGTGCTGCCATCTGTTTGCAAAATTATTTTCACATGCCACAAGCCTTTTACTCCCACACACTCCTCAATTCACATGGTTTAACTGATTCTTGCATGCAAATTATCATGCGACAAATCTTCACCGATAGTAGTGCCATACATGAACATGACTCGTGACTGTTGTGTTATTCTACCTATCACTTCTCATTTGGAAGTGCTCGTGTTTGGATGTTTAGTATGTACTCTCTTCAAGTATTTTTTTTTTTCTCGTATCATCATATCAATTTCTCTCAGCAAGTTTACTATTTATTATACACTACTGATATTTATAACTTATTCGGAAGTGGAATTATTTTAGATTTCTACACGTTTCCTATTTTTTTAAGTCACCACAGTTGTGTTTGGTTATTCATTTTGAATTATGAATTCCGAATTCTAAGTTATCACTTCAGGGGTTATATCTTCTATCAGCACAATTACACAGGCTTCAGATGATGGTCCTCGATAGGAATTACACTGGTTTTACTTCGTTGGCATATTGATTGAGTTTGGGGGCCCACACATTTTGAAATACAGTCCACCTACTCTGGAAAGACAAGATGTTATACTGTTATGATTTTTGAATATTTTTACTGTTAATATTATTATCTGTAGTTATTTGGGTTCAATAACATAAGTTTAGTTGGATTGGTCAATACTAATAGTCAAGTTCAGGTTGAAATTAGAGCTTATTTGTACCCTTTTCCTATAACATTAGATTAGGCTTAACATTGGTTTTTGTTATTTTAGGATTATCCGTAATTCATCTTTCTGGTATATCGTAAGTTAGGTTAATTATATTGTCTTCAGAATATCACATCTCATACATGTGTTCTTGTCAAAACACACTTAATTTTATAATATAATGTCTTTCATTTTCGTTATTATTTATTTTTTATACTTCTTCATCTTACCTTTGCTTGTGTGGCCCTAGAAGCCGGGGTGCGCACATATTTCTTCTGCTGATATTGTACATACTAATTGTTTGATTAGGATTTTTTTACATTAGAGCTTAGTGGTGTATTTTATCTTGCACTGTTCGATTAGGCTTAACAATTGTCCATTATTTTTGGTTTTCCTGTAGTTCATCTTACGAGTAAGTTGATAATTAGATTAAGCATTTTGTTTTCTTCAACACATAGCATCTAATACATATGTGTATTTCAATACACACTTACTTAAGTTTCCCTTACATCGATTATTTAATTTTTGTAATTCTTTATAATTTATACTTCTTACAATTATTTTAGTTTGTGAAGACCCCTGGGGGCTTGCATACCCTCTCCTGATATTACTTCCTCCTACAACTGCTAAACCCATTTAAGATTACCTAGATTTTGTCAGTTTTTCTACACCTTATTATGGCTTGCTTTCCCAGGCCTCTACTGCGAAATCTGCTAGGCATACCTCAGCCTTTTTTACATATGTTTCACAATAAGTTTTCCCCTCTTTCTCCAGACATTACTTTTCATGGTGAGAATTTTGTCTCTTTTGGAAGAGGATACTTGCATGCTTTGCCTACACAGGTTTTGGTTCATTTTGCCTTAGCTTACCATCAGGCAGATTTAATGATGCTCCTACAGGAATTGTATGCCTTCCACCTCCTTTCTTAGGCATTCCACCTATGTCTAAGGGGCCCCCTAGTGGCACAGCAGTATGTCTATGGACTTACAGCTCTAGTAACTAGGTTTCGATACCTGTGATAGGCAGAGCACAGATAGACCATTGTGTAGCTTTGTGCTTAACTACAAACAAACTATATCTAGGGGATTTTCATGATATACCTCCACACATGGCTTCTTTGCTTTTGGGTTCTACTGGTGGGACACTGTCTTGTACTGTTTGTTTCCCATCCACTTCTAATAGGGACTTACTGTTGGCTCTTTTTCTCCACTAGTCCATTTTTTGGAATTACTCCTGTGTGCATTTAGCACACATGGGGTTTCTGAGATGCTATATTTTATTTGTTTCATTCTGTGACATTGCCACCTTTATTCACATTCCATATCTGTCACCTTCCTGTGATACCTACAGGTTTCTCCATTCTTTGTGTCTGCCCAATGCTGATCACTTCCACCTCAATCACTTCTTGGTTTTTCCCTGTTTTAATATATAGTCTTCCATCACAATTGGGTTGGACATTTCTGCAGGGCTGAGAATGGTACACGTTCTTATTTTCATTTCTCGGGATGCTATCTTAGGTTTTTTTCCACATGTAATTTAGTACCGGCTTTGTGCATTGCCCTTCGGACTTGTTTGGTTCTGTAAGTCTTTGTTCAGGTGATCTGCGATATAGCCGACTTCTGCATTTTGGGTTTTTTTACTAACAACGCTACTTGGACGTTTGGCTTTGGGTAGCTTCTTTAGAATGGTGTAGTCATAACATACTCACCTGCTTCTTACACAAGCAGCTGGGGTGATTGGATTTTCCAGTTCGATGAGTTTTATGTGTTACCTACCTAACAATCATCTATTTGAGGAGTTTTTTTATACGCCCACCTATGTTGGGACCATTTATTCTCCTCCTTGAATGCATTTGTTGGAGCTTTATGTTATCCACATCATTACGGTTAACTCTCTTACTGTTAGCTAGGTTCTAGGGGGATATGGCTTATATGGAAGCACTTCTCCCTTTGGGTCTGACACATTTGCCATCTTTTCAAAAGATGCTGCATGACCCATGGTAGGGTTTCTTTGGATTATCCTCTTAACTTTCCTCCATCCCTATTTGACTATATGAGTTGTTTTAACATCTCCTTCACATTATCGGGTTGACTGTTTCCTTCCCTTCATCCGGATTTGTTTCTCTTCCCTAATTCTCTTCTCCCAAGTTGGGGTGTGTGGGTCGATCAACAGGAGGCTTCAGGACAATGGTCTATGGATTATAGGTCCTACCATGTTAATGCCCTATCACTTTTGCAGTCCAACATGTTTTAGCTCACTTTCCTCCTCTTGACTGAATTGGACTAATCATGTTTCATTCTGAATATTCGATGGTGGTGGCTTATTTCATTCTCCAAGGGGCATTCGTTCTTGTTCCCTCTGTGGTAAACAGTAATCTTCCTTTCTGAACCCACACATTTGACATGCATGTCCTGTTTCTGGTACTTCACACTTGTTACAGATCACCTTTCTAGTCTCTCAATTCTCAAATTTTTGGTGGTTCTCCCTCCTGTGGGGTACTCATCCACGGGAAGCATTTGACTCTTCTTGATTCCAAGCTACCTTTTTTGTTTTCGGTCTTGTTTTATCATCCACGTGCTGTTGATACATCCAGTTCATAACTTTAGTTTTCTCATTCTGTCAGTCTTTCCAAGATGATTTTAATCATCCATGTCTCTCCAGATAAGGTCTTTCTGATTGATCCTTCCTAGCTGGCGCAGATCTGGTTTTCTTGACTGTTTCGACTTGATATGTTTTTTTTTCTGGATCGATTTTACTAACCTCTACTTTGGGGCTTATGTGGAATATTCTTTTTATCAGTTTGTTTCTTGCCATCTTCCACCTTTATTCTCAGTCATTTCTGGATGGCTTTCTCTGTTCTATACATGCTCTAATTGCTTCATTGTTTTCAAGGCTTTTTTTCTGCTGACTCCATTTCTTGCAGTTTTATTCCCTTGCACCACTCCTCTGTTCATAATTTTTTTCCTTCCTCCCTTACCCATTGGATTTGGTTTATAATTCAAGTGGCATCTTATTCCTTAAGTACCTTTTACCTGCATTTCAACCCCATCGTCTGTTGGAGGTACTTTGTCTGTCGACCACTGGGACTAAATCTCAGACATTCATCTCCCATTATCTGCTTTGGGTAGCTGTTTCTTCCTCATTGGGTTACTATCTTCCACCTGTCACCATCCTTCACTCTTTGGTGAGACTGTAACTGGGTAAGTTTTCTTTCTTTTGTTATATATATTATTTTTCAGGGGCCTGTCCCATGTTTTGACCAGGATCTCACTCTGTGGTGAGTGGTACCTGTCCAGGTATACTTAGAACTGTACTGAAACCCGCACTGTAAGGCCATGTTGACTTCATTTTCATAATTTCCATGGCCACAAAAGGCACACCGTTCTTTACAACCACAAAAAGTAGAGATGGGATGTTCCACAAGATTGCTCATAGGTTACTTCTTGTGATATACTTGCTTCATAATTATGCCTGTTCCAGACTGCCAATCCCTGCCATTCCTTAAGTTGAATAAATTAGGTTTGGTCTGCTTTTCAAAATAGGGTTTCGTGGTTGCTCATTGCACTGTGTGAATGTTCTTCCGGACTCTCCACCCCCACCCCCATTTCTTCCAGTGGAGTAAGAGAGTCCTTACATCTTTCCAGTTCCAAACTGCTGTGGTGGTTGTCCATGGAGGCATCCTCCTGAATGTGATATTGATATTTGATACAAATAATGTTAATATCATTCAGTTCTGCTGGTGTAGATGATGATGTTTTTCAGTCTGATGCTCCATTTTTGTACGGGTTTATCCAAAGGGATGTTGAAGCTTTGGAGTGAGCCATCATAATTGCAGTTCACCCCTTTGTTTGAGATCCCTCATCCTACCACCTCATAGATGTCAGTTCCCAGTGACTAGGTTTTCGATTCAGAGCTGAACCAATCAACTTAAGTCCTTACACATGTATTATAGGCGTCTCTGTTCTTCACTCAATTATACTCATGTGCCCTCCATTTGTGTTGTGGGTCATGGTGGTCAAACTTGCAAACTCATATGGTTCTTCCTCTTATGCTAACCCTTGATGGTTTTCATATTCCAAGGATTTTTGGATTTAGTACCGAACCAATAAACATATTGTCCACACTTCTGTTGTGCTGATTGGGATCCCTCATCTTACCTCCATATGGATGTTGGTTCCTGGTATTTTGAGTTTTTGATTTAGAGCTGAACAAATTGACATGATGTACTCACACATGTAGTGTGCTGGCATGATGCAGTTCACCCTTTCAATTGGGATCCCTCATCCTACCCCCACTTGGATGTCGGTTCCCAGTGGTTGAGTTTGGATTTAGAGCTGAACCAATCAACATAAGTCCTCACAATTTGCCTTGAGTGCACTACCCCAATGTTGTGGGTCACGGTGGGGGCATTTATTGGTTGCTCTGCTTCTTCCTCTTGCGTTACCTATTGATATCTTTATGCTGATGATGTTACTGTGTTTGAGGTGGTTTCAGTTTGTTTGATTTGAGTGGGCTATATATATGTATTTCATTCTGTTCACAGATCAGTGGTGGGATTTCTCCCTCTGGTCGGCTGAACTTGAGGTGAGGACGGTATGATCCTCTTTCCTACCCTTGCATGGATGTTGGTTCCCGGCAGTTGAATTTTGGATTGTAGTTGATTAACGACAGTATGATTTTCGTTTTATCAGTGGTTGAGTTTTGGGTTCAGTTGACTTGCTGTGCATGATCCGTCGTGCCCTAGCCTTATTTTATCCGCATTATGTTCATCAGAGAGATTGAAATAATAACATTTTGTGGCTAGGATCACTGTGCAACCATTTTCTCTCCCATCAGGAAGGGCTCCTCATAATTTTCTGCCTGGATCTCTCACACTTTTTCCACATCTGGGTGAAGAGTATACCTGGTGCAGTCTCCCACATCTAATCCTCTTACTAGACAGTGTACTTCAGACACTTTGAAAGGATGCTTATACTTTCTCCCTTTCACCAGTCCCTCCACCTATTCAATATGGGATTCTAGCTCTATGTATGTGAGTGGAAGTAAAGTAACTTGTTGGAATTATAATTTTCCTTCACTGAAAATGTATTTCCACTCACACTTCCCACCCTTCCTCCCCACTGTCAACTAGTGCTTACTTTTCTGTCTCAACTAGAAGTGATAGTTACGTAGAATAGCATAGAGAGAGTCATGTGGGTGTGTTACATTATTATTGGTGAAGGTTTGTTGCATGATAATTTGCATGCGAGAATCAGTTAAACCATGTGAATTGATGTGTGCGTAGGAGTGAAAGGCTTATGACATGCGAAAAAATTTTTGCAAGTAGAGGGCAGCACTGAACGAGAATAGCTATGTATGTGAGTGGAAGGATCTGTCAGAAATACATTTGTTGTGTAGGAAAATTATAGCTTTGATAAGTCTATGTTTTATTGTATTTTGGCACTTGTATATAAAGTTAAAATCATAAATAATATTCAATGTTAAAACTGGTACACAATTAAAAACATTTTATTTAGGCCGATGTATGGCCTTCAAAAAGTTGATGATTCTACATGTTTTGACGTTGCAACATCATC